ATATTTTTTCTGATGCTTTTTTGTGTAATTGAAAGTATTTTTTCATAAACTTATGACTTTTTCTACTAATTATTAATTTGGTGATCAAATGTATGTTTTTTTGGTGATCATTTCGCAGCTAGACAAATTTGGGGTGTGGGTATGAGTGTGAGAAGTGGGTGGCTGTGGATGGGGCCGTAACAAAACAGTAACATCCACAACCTCACATTTACTCACACCCACACCCACACCCTTAACGAAATTAAATACCATCTTCAGACCTTTTTTATCAGTTTCTAAACTAAAAATTTTCTGTTTTGTGGATTTATGAATATACTGAAAAAATCTTACGTTTGAAACGATATCTATGAGAACCTAGAATGACATGTTGGTTTTGCGTTTGTTCTGGTCTATTGGACAGATACATAGAATCGAATTTACTACTTCTGTACTTCAGCACTTCTTTTAGTTCATACTTCACAAAAGCCTGAGTGCTCATGTTGAAAAGAGTCAGTTTGCTGTTATCAGGTTAACATGGTTTCTACGGGGTAGCCTCATTTTATAAGTTCTTTGATCAAGTCGTTATAGAATAGAAAAAATAACTGCTCTGCGGCAGTTCCTAATCCAAAACCCATATGTAATACACTAAATTTCAGTAGGTTGCAATTCGGAAGACTTTCCGACTCACATACGGCAAAATTTAGATTCCAAAGATTATCATGATAAATAAGATCGACCACAGATTCAAAGATCGATATAATCTTATAGAAATCCGATAGGAATCTGACCGTTGGAATAAATGGGGATTTCAACAGTTGGAAATTATCGGAAACGTATGCATATCCGATTGTTGGATCCGATAGAATCCGTCGTCGGATTTTTTGGGCCTGGGAATATTATTCTTTAAAAATTACATAAATGAAAACAATGAAAATTTTGACTTTTTTAGCTGAGAAAACCATTAGTTGTGTCGAAACGCATTGTAGTGACTGAAAAATCATCTATTGCTTGGTTTTTGTATGACAAATGAAATACATCCCTAGACAAAACTCTTCTCTTCCGCTTTATTTTTATACGACCAGACTTTACAAAGAATTTATTACCGAGGACAAATATGACATAAGAGTTTTATTTCAAAGTAGTATACAGGTTACACTGAAATAAATCTCTCATGTCATATCTCCAGACGGTAATAAATTTGATGTGAAGTATGATAGCACAGAAACAAAGAGAAGGAACGGGGTAAAACTTTTGTGTGGGGAAAGGAGAAAAGGTATATACTTTAGTGGCTGCTTGAAGAGCTCGATAACAGAAATTGCGTTCTTCTTAAAAAATAATATATATATATATATAACAAGCCTTTGTCTCACCAACTTATTCTTCATCACTTCTCACAGCTACTTTTGCTTACTAGATCAAACAATAAGAAATCGCATCATGAAGGTCTTGGGCATTCTCGCTCTCGCTGCCATCCTGCTCGCTATCCAGGCTGCTCCACATGGCAAAACCAAGATTGGTGTTTCCCAGGCTGGTAAAGATCATGTTGAAGCAGTCGCTTACGGAGCCAAAGAGGGAAATGATCTCCATAAGGGCTCCGAGAAGAGTGCTTGCGTCTACAACGGATGCTGGTGCCATCCCGGTACTCCCCAAGGTCAATACTGTTTAGGTAGCGATGTTTACGAATGCAATCCCCAAGGTGGTTGCTGTTCCTATGGATTTAGATGGTCGTGTCATCAATGTGGCAGACTGTATTGTTAAGACATTGACTTATACTCCTGCTCAAAAGCTTGTGTGTTTTTTTTGTCGTCCATTGTTCAAAACGAACTTCCTCCTTTGTCATTTTCTTATTTTGTCTTTCGCTCTTTTAGTTAGAATAAAATTCACAAGCGTCACGTCGAAAGTCAACATTAGTCTAAATTGTTATAATCCTGTTGGGTCACAATTACTTTGCTGTCCTTCCAAAGGTCTTCCCTTGTTTTATGTTGACTACTACAGGGTGAAGATGGGAGTTTCGGACGCCAAGATTCAGATTTCATGATCCCCGAAAAGATCACTTGTCAGTTGACTTGACTCTTGGTCATCTTTTTTAAAATGATTCTGAAGAAGAATCCCAAACGAAATAGGGTGTGGGCGTGGGTGTTGGCAGATGTACCAGCTATTATATTGATCAGCCTACACCAACACCCACACTCACCCAATTTTTGGAGAAACGCTCTATTTTTTGTAATTATTTTTGATTTCGTTGGTATATTTTCTAGATCAGAGTGGGTTTATCAAAATAAAAGAGCTTCTTGTGGGATTTTATTGATTTTAGATTATTCTTGTTTTTATGATATATTATGCAGTCTTTTAATTCAATAAAAAACAAAAACAATAAATACACAATAAGATTAGTAAGTTTGATATCATCCCATGTTCATTATAACGACTAATTCAATTCTACCCTTTCTTCCATGATCCTTTTGAATAACCTTGAAAAATGCTATTTGTACTTGGTATTAAATCCCTATACGGATTAGGTTTGTTAGTGTATTATAGTGTCACAATAAGTAACTAGGGAGAAATGTTGATAATACGGTTGAATATTTATCTTTGTTATCTTTTCGATTTGATATAAATAAGAAGCACAATATTCATTTAGTTCAAATAGCTAAAGGATTTAATACAAAGTACAAAACAATGTTTTACTATGCACTTTTCATTGTTCTCATGCATTTTACAATAGTTTCACATGGTAAACCAGCAACATTTCGAGATAATCAACCAAAGCCATGTTGTGTACCTGACCAATTTAGTGCTCTTATCAGTGGATCGGATGTCATAGAAGTACCGAATGTTGGACCGGTGGCTCTTTATGTAAAACTATTTTCATCGTATTAAATTTTCTCTTAAATTGTTCTATGAACTAAATAGGGCGCTTTTAATTTTTCATACGATGCAAATCGTGGTATGTATGGAATGAAGGGTAGAACTTATTCAGTAATAGACAAAACGGACACATCTGTATGGATTATTGGAACTATTTCTGAAAAACAAACTTATGCAATAGATCTAAATTCAAAAAAATGTGTTAAAGATTCGATTTCAGTTGCACCATTTCGTTGTATACCAGGTAATTAAAATAATTTGTTATTAATTGCTTAATTTAATTTATTAAGATAATTATAAAACTATTTTTTTTTTGTTGATTGTATTATAGAATCCGCAACTTATTTGTATTCATCTATGTATGGTTTCGGTGATAACCAATTTAAAGGAGATACATGGTTTATAGAAGATAACAATGCAGTTAGCTTTGTAACTGTTAGTAGTGATGGTAATTGCATTCCACTGAATGGTAACAATTTCATTTCGACTCCTCGTAAGTAACAGCTTCATTAAATATCATTAAAGTTTATATTGGATATTTTTAGCTGGAATTAGTACTATGACACTTGCAAATTATGTACCAAAAATTAATGATCCAAGTATATTTGATATTCCAGATGAATGCAAAAATGCTGTTTAGATTACAATATACTACTGAATGGAAACATTTATTGAACCTTTTTTAGCTAGAAAGTTGATATCTTTGACTGAAATAAAAGTAATATAGCTTTAAGAAATTTTTTTTTTCTCTCTATATCTGCACACTTGAGGGTGTGGGCAGCAGTGTTCAGACTTCTGAAAAAGGAAATTTTGGAAGTTGCGAAAAATTCAAGCGCTTGTGTTCTAAATTATTTGGTACCTCCAGAAATTTCTAAAATTTCCAAAATTTCCAGAAAGTTTTCATTTATTGTGCTTTTGTAGTTATCGAGTTGATAAAAGCTTCGGAAATCTGAACATAGCTCTACTGTCGATCGTCATGAAAAACGGCGATCGACTTTTAGAGATGTTAGACTAACTTTGTATTAGCGAGGTAAATGTTAAAGAGATATGTGAGCTTCACATTCCAGTACCAAGGAGGCTGCAATAACAAGCTTTTATTGATACATGATAGAATTATTTGAACCTCCTTTTACATTTCTTCAATTTTGACTTAATTATTGTTAATATAAATAATACTGTACGAATCAAACAGCTATTGGAATATTTTTTTTGTATTTTATAAACTTCTTATTCATTATTATTATGCAATAACTCTTCAATGTTGTGTCTGGCTAGGTATTCCTTTATCACCGCTTAGTTAGATAAAATACAAAATAAACTTTATAGATAACTAGTAATCGTATGAGATAATGAAGAAACTATTAGGTTTTCTTCTTGCTATTGCTTCTATTAAAGTACTTATTTCGAAATCTTCTTTTTTCCATCTGGTGGATGGAAAAGTCAGCTCTGTTCTTTGTCCGTTTTTCGTCATTGCGTTTCGCCACAAATTTATTTTATAACTGTTAGATAACCTGAGCTAAAAAGGCTGATATTTTCAGATATGTCGAGGGTTAAAGAGATGCATCTTTTGATGAAAGAATAAACTTCTAAAAATACAGCATCGGTTCTTTCGTTCTGCAATGCGACTTAACAAACTAACGAACGAACGAACGAATATTTAGTCGTGGTAGCTGCTCCGCGCATTACCCTTCTTCTAGTAGAGGAAACAAAGTATTACACAACATATGCGACGTGGTATTTTTCATGTAAAAAACGAATTATTGACTACAAGGTGACAGAGAAGAAAAAAGAATGAGAAAAAGGTGGAAAGAAAAAAGATAATACTATTGACAAAAATGTCGCCCTCACAACGCACCTCGTGCTCGACAACGAACAAACGTATTGCTTATATAAGGTGGTGCACGAAGACGCGTTTGATTCAAATACAATTGAAGTAACTGTGACGTGAGTGAAGTTAGTCAAAGATTCGAATAAAATTAGCAGGAAGTCGCCCAGGAACATGTTCTAACTATTCCAATTAGTGTTCCAAGTACAACTCGACGAGCTCTATCCAATGGTGCAAACAGATTTTCCATAGCTCAAACTATGTGTTTTTAAATTCCAAAAATACTGGTATTTATGCAGGCGAAGGTAACTCAATATTCAAGTCCAGTGTTTCAAGTACAACTCGATAAGCTCTATCCAATGGTATGCTCAGATTTTCGATACCATGAAGTATACTTTTAAGGTACTCATTAGCGCGATCTCTCATTCGAAAAACCATACTTTGTGGTATCGAAAATCTGAGCATATCATTGGATAGAGTTCGTCGAGTTGTACTTGGAATACTAATTGGAACAGTTGGAACATGTTCCTGGACGAATCTCTGCTAATTTTACTCGAATCTTTGACTAACTTCACCTACATTTAGTCGTGATGTCATACGTTGTAACTGGCGCATCGGGTCAAGTAGGGTCTGCGGTCGTCGATTATCTTCTCGCTCAATCACTTCCTGTTCGTGCTGTCATTCGCTCTGAAAACAAAGCAGAATCCTTTCGATCACGACATGTCGAAGTGGCCATTGCCGATTTAACTGATGGCGAGGCATTAACCAAATCGTTTCAAGGAGCAAAAGTAGTTTTTGCTATGAATTCTACGGCTCTTACCAGTCCGGATTTACAAGCTGCCGCAGTTAAGGTTAGTCATGCTCTGGCATCGGCGATTAAAGCTGCCAAAGTGGAACGCGTGGTTGTTTTGAGTTCTGTGGGCGCCGAAAGAAGTTCCAAAACTGGAAACATTCTGACGACTCATACACTAGAAGAAGCATTGAAAGGAACTGCTCCTCAAGTGGTGATGGTTCGAGCTGCCTCGTTTATGGAGAATTGGAACAGTGCCGTCTCGGCAGTCAAATCAGGCCAGTCATCGGTCCTTGGTTCAGCGTTCCAAAAATTAGATCGAAAATTCCCCCATGTCGCTACAAACGATATTGGACGTGTTGTTGCTGAATATATGACCAAACCCAGTAGTGAAGTCGACAAATTGGTCATTATTGAACTCGAAGGACCTCAAGATTATAGTCCAAATGATGTAGCCAAGGTGGTCAGTGATGCATTAGGGAAGACTGTTCCAGCAGCTGCTATGACCGAAGAGATGATGTGTGATCTTTTCAACAAATTAGGCTTCCCGAAAACAACGATAGATAATTATATCGAAATGGTTCGAGGATTTGATGATAATACCATTCGTTGGACGACGGATGAAAATGTCATTCGAATCAAAGGAAAACTAACTTTAGCTGACGTTCTTAATAAAAATTAATATTGACATTTTGAATTGCGTTGAACTTAGAAGACCATATAGTTTGTTTCTTTCCATATTCACACTAGTTTTTTACTTCAACTTCAATCTTTCTTTTAACTCACTGTAGTATTACTAATAAATACAGGTATTAGCTGAGGTAATGCAACTCAACTTCTCTCATCATTTCTTGTATGGAAAATTCTCCATATTTCACGTCAATTTCTTCATGATATTTAACGAAAATCTGTTCGCATAGATCAAAAGATGAATTGGCGACGCTCAGTTATGAATAGCTGTCAAAGCACAAACAAGACAATAAAAGAAACACGACTCCTTTTACAAACAGTTCCAACTCATCAGTTTTTTATATACAAGTGTCAGTAAAAAGTTTAAATTTGGTCAATAAGGGTGTGGGTGTAGATCTTATCATCACATCTACACCCACACCCACACCCTATGTGTTTCGTGTTCTTCTGATCAGATTATTTGTTTATTTGTGTATGTCTTTTTACTCTCTGCGTTTTCTCAACTACATCTAAATGATTGGGTATAATATTATTGATTTTTTTTTGCTGTCATAAAGCGTGTTTATGTGTTTTTTTTTCTTTTCATCTTTTATTGCGTGTATGTATGTGAAAACATTTATATATGAACAGACAAAGTCGAAAGAATACTTTGTTTTCTTGCATACATTGGTATATCATCCAGTGGTTTATCTTTTGTTTCGGGTAAGATTAATGAAAGTAAAACGACAACAACAGCTAACCCTGATGATGCATAAAATGTATATGGTAAATGTTCAGTCTTAACGGATGTATCAATAATTGGTGCGACGATAGCACCAATACGACTAACTGCAATAAAAAACCCATTAGCACTACTTCGAATTGATGTTGGAAAAAGTTCAGGCACGAATATCCATGATACAGCTACTGCACCTGATATACAATATTTTCCGAGTTGAGCAATAAATATAGTTGCCGTTGAACTATATGGTGAAATAATTGGAATAAGAAGAACACAAACAATTGTTAGACTCATTAGAAGAACAAATGAATTTTTACGAGCAAGTTTTGTTGATATAAGTAAAGAACCTGTTACATAACCAGCTGCTTCAACAATAGCACCAATTAATATTCCTAAATATGGTGAAATATTCATTACTGCTAGGCCATAACTTATTTTAATATAAAGCATAAGTTCTGTAAAACCAAGTAAAGCAATAATTAATAATTTAATAACAGTTGAACGTTGTGTCAAAATTTGATGAACTTGACGAAAAAATGTTAGTTCATCATGATCTAATAATGCGGATGGTTGTTTTCGTATAAAGTCTTGATAAGATGGATACCAATCTGCTTCTTTTCGTTTATTTTGTGTTGCTATCCGTCGTAAAAGTATTGTAAGTCGAGCATATTGTCGTTTAGAATAAATGTATAATGGTGATTCAGGCATAAAATAAAGATAAGGTAGTATTAAAGCAAAAAAAGCTGTGTTAGCCCATTTGAGTATTTGCCAATCTTTTCCTAAATAAGCAAATAGAGTAACAATAACTTCACCAATTGTAAATGAAACGAGTGAACAATATCCTGCCAAACTTGTATGTGCTGATGACGTTAATTCAATCATGAGAATAAATGTTAGACTAAATGTAGGAGGAATTAGACCTGATGCAAATTGATTAATTAATAAAAGACCGAATCTAACAAAAAAAAACAATGATTTTAAATAAAGGAAAAAAATTAAATCAATTTACTTCGCGTGCACTGTCATGGGTATCCATTGCATCAGTATCTGAGTAATTAAACATGTTATAAGTAGAAGAATAACGACAATAACAATTAATCTCTTTCGACCATATTTATCCGCTAATGTCCCAATAATAAGTAATGAAAAACCACCACATTGAAATAAAGTAGCCAACCAACTTTTGATTGGTTCACTATTACAAACAAGATTTGCTTCTTCAGTAAATGTATATCCAAATATAGATCGATCATATGCCCATCCATTTGGACAATTAACAAGTGTATCACTTCGATTTTCGATTGTATAACGTACACATTTCTCCCAAATTTTTCCATCTTTGTCTTTTGGTATATAGCTATTAATTAATCTTTCATGTGTACTATTTATTGGATAATATTGTGTATCATTAGGCCAAATATTTTCTGGTAATCGGCATCGATGACCAGGCTCAGCTGCACCAAAAATATAATAGAAACTAACAATACCCGCACTCAGTGCAATAAAATTAATAAAGAAATAATGTATCAATTGAAATCGACCAAGATCGCCACATTTTTTAAGAATACCATCGAATGAGAATGCTATTGATGCTAGCGATGATAGACTTGTGTT